GCCCCCTCACACTGCTCTGAGGGGGTTTTGACCTTGAGATGAGTCTGCTCCAAATCTCTGTCACGTTGATTCAGCCTCCCTGCACCCCATACAAGCCAGTCAAGATATGTACAACAGACAGATATGCCCAGACAGGAGCACGAAAGAGTAGAGGGATTTAAAAAGGGGGGAAGACAGTCACCTAGAGCTCTTCTAAGAACAGAGCAGTAAAAATCAAAAAGGCACGTGTGTTTTATCACCCTGATAAATGTCACTGCAAGGAGGAGCTTCTTCCACAAGACAGTGTGGCCCTAGAGACTAAACAGCAACTTTTATACTTACCTTTCATAAAGCCAGTGGGAGGAAATCTTCTGGCAGCACTGTCTGCCACATTAATTTCTTACATCAGTTCAAGCTACTTTGTCTTGTGCTTGGTGTCTTTGGTTATATTCACTCAAATATGGCCAGGGCCTCTTCTTCACCCTCCCAGAAAGCAAATGTGCTGTGTCCAGGGGTGGCTGGATGGAGGGTATAGTGGTGTCCATCCCCCCCACCACAACTGCAAAAACCTCACTAAAGCTTTCCTTTGCCCCTCTGTCCCACAGCTGACAGGCAGCAGCAGAATAACAGTAGAGGTAAGGGAACAAGGAGGTATCAGGGAACAACAGAAGCAGCAGATACCAGGTTACAACGTGCGACAGATTGCTCCCACACCTAGTTAGTTTTCACAGTGGGGTTTCCTTGTGGTGTGGAGGGGGTGGTCAGCAGGGTAAAACAGTTCACAGAGCTCCCACACTTTCAGGCACCAGCACCCGGGGATTTTACTGGCTACCCCCAAGGTCACAGAAGATGGGAATGTGGCAACTTAGGCTGAGCATGACAAGATGCAAGTAGGACAAAGGCTACAAATGTCTTTCAAAATTTAATGTCTTTTTTTTGTGTGTTGTTGCTTTCTGCTCCATAACTAAACACTCCTGTCTTATCACTATCTTGTTAATGAACAACCTGTACTGCTCCCACTCCATGCTACTAAATATTCTGCTGAGATCCTCACAGCTAAAATATATTAAAGAAGCCACTGACAGCATCTATACACAGCTAAATTTAAATCCACCCCACCCCAGTCTGCCGTAACTACAGTGCCCAAGACAAACAGCCCTTGGCTAGTGCTCTCTTCACCAGCATGCTATTAAGCTTTTCCAGAAGAGAAGGCTTTATTTTCTCAAACCCATGCCTGGAAAGGAGGAGCCATATGGGGGAAGAAACTCCAGCATCCCAATCTGATTAATCTCCAGACCTGTGGATACAATCCAGGGAGAAAGGAAAGGCGTCTGTCAACAAACCTCAGCCACCAGATCTACATTAGTGAATGGGAAAGGATGAAGCATGAGGGAACAACAAAAGCTTCTTAACGTCCCTGGAAAGAAACATCCCAGAAAGAAAAAGAGCCCGCAAAACAAAGGAATGCCATACAGGAAATACAAATTATCCACCTGATTTATTGCACAAGGAGGACTTAAAAGTGATGGAAAACCCCAAAAATTTCAGTATGAAGTCTATACTGTTGAGAAGGGAGAAAAGTTTACAAATGACAGCGGTTTATAAACAAACCAGTCCTTCTTTCACTCCATACTGATGTGAGACAGAGTTTGCAGAAAGAGGAAAGCAACCTGGACTTCATGGCTGGATGCTGGAATTTCAAACAACATGCCAAACTGAGTGTTCCCTGCCCCACTCTTCTCCAACACCAGCTTTACAAACCAGCTCGTTGTCATCTACCTCCTCATCCCTGGGGAAGGAGAGCTGGGATGACAGAGGCCACTAAGCTGGCACACTGAGGGAATAAGTTACTCCATAAGTCATTCCTCTTCCTGAGGCTCTGAATGTGCTGCAGAGCAGTGCTGCTTTTTTTGATGCCTCCCCCAAGGTGATAAATGCTGCTGGGAAAAGCTGTCCTTTGGAGTGCAGGGTGACTATAACTCATGACAGTCTTCCACAGCCTTATTGATGTCTTCAGATCAGATTTTCTGACTTAGTTTGTGGAGAGTTTATAGTAAAACAGTCAGAAGAACCTCTTGGGCATCTCCTGGCCACAAACATACCTGGAGAATTGTCTCTAAACAAATTTCTGAAATGCTGGTGCTAACTCTGTCAGCTCAAGGGAGAAGCTGGGAGTAGCATCAGCACTAGGCACTAACACTGTAAGGAAACAACAGATAGGTAATGTAATCTTGAATTCAAGAAACTCAATTATTTTATTGCTTATCTAAGAAAACCTTTCTCTTTGTAACAGGTCTCTGGGAAAGGGACTGAAATGTATGTCACAAAAATCAATGGTTTTTTGCATCCACACAGCAGCCACCATGCCATCGTTTTAATTTTTCTTTATCATTCAAACAATCCATTATTATAATTTTGGTGTCATTTTGGCTTGGAGCAAGTCTTTAATGAGGCAGGTGTTGTGCAAACTCAGGGCAAAAAGGTTGTCTCAAAAAACTTGAGAACTAAGTATTATAAGAAGTGTGGGCATTCTTCCTTGAATAAACCCTGTATGCAGCTATTAGGAGTTCACTGACTTATTTCTTTTTTCTTCTTCTTTTTTTATTTTTAATTTAATGCAAGGGATTAAGTAGCTTTGTCTAAACTGATGTAAATATCACTTAAGCTAAATAAAACTTTCCCACCGTTGCTTGCCTTCGTTTATGAAACAGAAGTTTAAAACAACAAAGAAATACTTTTCCATAAGCACAATGGCTAGGTGTGCTGTAGAACAACTTGCTGGAGCGACAGAGCAAATAACAAAAAATAAATGTGTTCAAAAATTACCTGTAGACACTCTTATAAAAAAAAGATCCCCCCGAGGTGATTAGATACAAAGGCAGAGCCAGTGTTTCAAACTTGCATTGCCTAAGCTTCAGCAAGAGAAGAGGGTGTTCCAGGACAAGGATCTCTCTGTATTTGCCCAGGTCTCACTCTATTCCTGGGTACCCACTGCCAGCTCTCCTCAGAGAGAAAACAATGGACTTGGAAAGAACTTCTGCCTGACCCAGTATGAACTCTTCCTATGTAAAAGAACACAGCAAAAAAAAAATACTCTGAAAAATAAGCTTTAAATTGCTACTTGTTATAATCAAAACAGAAAATCCCCTTCTTGCTACCATCAGATCCACTTCTGTGAGGCACAGCAGCTGAACAAGATGACACTACACTGAGGAGGGCACAGTCTAAGAGGATGAGCCACAGTTTGAAACTAAAACAAAAACAAAATAGAGATGAGCAAACCCAAAGCAAACACCACAGGAAGCAAGGTGTCCTAAGGAGATATTTGAAGATGGAGATGAAAGACTGCTTACTCACACTGTGACATCCAGTGCCCTTGCCCTCTGTTTTGGGAATCACTAAATAGTTTCTGCCAGCATCAATGTCACTCAAGCAGTTGCACCTAAGAGAAAATATTTTCAAAGGTTTACAGGCACTGCAGAAGAATAACATAGTAAGTTGTCAGTTCTGGAGAGGCACTTTCACATTCCTGTTAGACTGAGTGCATCAGTCTAAAGCCAAATGCAGATTACAGTGCAAACACAGGTCAATCATAAACAGTTGATTCTTACTGCTCAGGAGCAGTGGATAGAGTAGAACTGTTTTGCTATTATTTCTGCTATTTCTAAGGTCACTTGTGGTGTAATTCATTAATTCAAACAATAGCAGGTCATATATATAATTGGTAGCTGAGGGAGGAGACTGCATTCATCAGTGCCAAAACCTGCAAAAGAAATAAGATTGTTCAGCTCATATAAAACTGGAACTTAAAAAGCCTGCAGAAGACAAGTCCTAAGCAGCCACTTCAAAACCTGGCAGGCACCAAATGACCCAGGGATACTGCATCTAATTAGACTGATGAGACGACAACATGGCTGTGTGCTGCAGGTAGTTGTTAGACCTCCTATCTACAAAGGCTTTCCTTTGCCCTTTTTAATAAACAATGTTATAAATTAACCTCTAGTACTTTCAGCTCTTTTAAGCTTTTGTGGAATAAAAGTTTGCGATGGTATGTATGGGCTTGTTTCGCTGAGACACATTTTGGTATGCTTCACAGACAAATACTTGTACAAATAGAGGAGCTCAAAGCATTGCTTGCAGATAATTTGTCTGGGTGGTACTCAGCCTTCTCAGATGATGGGCTAAAAGCAACTACTGAGACCTGTTGAGTGTGGAGGCCCAGGGTTGAGTGTCGAGAAGAGGGAGGAAAAAGGCACTGAGTAGGTCTACTACTGTTGGGTTCAGAAGAACCTGGGGTTCACCCCAGGGACAGCAGCTCAGTTACCCCCCAGGTACGTCTAAGATCCTCAGTAAGGTATCACCCACTTGCTGGTCCAAATACATGCCTCTGACAGCTGCACCTTTTCTCTGCAGAACTGAGCACACGTTTTTCCACCTCTGCGCCGCTTTACATGCACCCTGGCACCTCTCCCTCGCAGCCCGGTCGTAACATTTTGGAGGAGGCTGACAGCTTTACCCGCTAACTAGCACACACCTGTGAAGCTCCAAAATCCCACATAAGCCCGCTGCTCGAAACAGACCTTCCCCTTCACCCCCCTCACCAGGCAGAGACTGAGAAGACAACGACTAGGCAGCAGCAGCAGCAGCAGCCGCCTTTCCACCCAATTTAGGATAAACTAGAGCTCCCCCCCCCCCAACCCGGAGGACTCTCGCAGGGCTCCTCCCAGCCCGCGTCCGGCTCGGGGGAAGCCGGGGAAGGCGGCACAAGCGCGGGGCGGCCCCCGCACGGCACCGCTGCCCGCACATCGCAACGGAGCGGCAGGTCCGCGCATCCCCGGGCATCTCCCGGGAGCCGCGGGAGGAGCACTGGCGGGCATCATCCCGGGCATCATCCCGGTGCCCGCCCCCGCCCCGCCCCAGCGGCTCCCGCAAGTGGCGGGGCTGCTCCGCCGGGCAGGGCAGGGCAAGGCAGCGCTCGGGGAGGTGCCGGGGTTTGCCCACCCGGCTGCCGCCTCCCCGCCCCCTTCGCCGTGTTTTCTTGTCTTATTTTGGGGCGGCTGAGGAGGGAAACGCTTCGCTCTCCGCGCCGGAGCCGGCGCCCGCCGTGGTGTGGATGCGTATGGAGGAGTCCTCGTGAAAGCAGCTCCCGACGTTTCCCCCCCACCCACCAAAAAAACACCCAAAAAACCCCCAAACCCAAACAAACCACCCACTTGGACAATTAAAACGGTAAATCTGGCTAACTTTTCATTATCTTGCTTGCTGTGTGCTTATATATGTAGATATTTATGGCTTATCTGGCTTCATTTCGTCATCCTTTGGTTTTCGTTAATTAGCTTCATCTTGTGCTGCCGGAGAACTTGAAATACGGTTTGGAGCAGAGGAGGACTCTGTTTCTGCTTTTGCCTGAAGTTGGGCTGAGGAATGAAAACCTTCCTAGTTCATACCAGCCTTGCAAATATGTTCATTTGTTTTATCAACCTGAACGTAGATGAGATTTCCTGTGGCAGCATTCCCTTGAGTTTGCTTTTCCTTAGTTTAATTTTTGCCGATGCTGCCTAAACCAGCAAAGATGTGTGTATGCTACACACATGCAATCCCATAACCGATTGATTTTGTATGCTGGCATTCCCATCTGAAATTCCAAGCAGGCTTTGAATCTCTTTACTTCATGATGTTAACAAGTGAACTGTCTTCTGTTTTCATCCTAATTCAACTTGAGGATTCTGCAAAAGAAAGTCACCCAAACCAAATCAAGTGGTATTTCTTAGCTCTGTAAATATTTAGTTTCCTTTTCAGTGATAGAAGCATGCTGTGATTTGTACAGTTCACTCAATCTGTACAGGTTCATAATCCAGAGAGCTTTTGTTTGCAAGGTTATTAATTTTATACAGTTACTGTGCTAGTTGGATGCTTTATGAGACTGGGCAACTCCAGGCTTTCTGCACGTTATGAAAACCAACTTTAGGAGGTCATATGTGTTTGCTTTGTTAGATATTATAATTTCACAGACATTTCTGTTCTCTACTGTTCTTCTTCTTGGAGTATTGATACAGCAGATATTTGTCTAAGGAAAATATCTCACTGAGACGTCAGTATGCATGGAGAAAAGACTGTCTTATTCTCATAAAACAAGAAAAAATGAGAATATGCATGGTTGGTAAAAATTACTGATCAGAACTTTGCTGTAAAATATGAGCTAAATTGCCAAGTCTGACTTAGGAAAAACTCAGGTCAGTGTAGACTTTGTTGCTCTTCACTGATTTTTTTGACTTCTCAGGAAAGAAATCATGTATTGAGCTACCTACCCACACATGCATGTGCATATGCACCTGCACAGGCACACAAGCCAACCTGATATTGTCCAAGCACAGGACTTGTGATTTGAGTTTTTGAGCCACAGGGGACTACAAAGAATGCAGGGGAAAGGAAAAAAAGGAGGAGAGATTTGCAACACTGACTGTTGGGCACGTAATTTAGGGACTTGGAAACTGGTCTCAGCAGTCAAAGCAAAGTGACAGAACCCCACGTGCTCTTCAAGGCGCCTGGTATATGCTTTTGCTGTGATTACATCTCTGAATTAATCTTTGAAAAACTTATGTCCGTCCACCATTTGTCTTGTTAGTGTTGAAAATGGTATAAAAGTATGTATTCGTTTGTTATTTTCAGTCTCCTAACTACTAAGATCTGTTGACCCAAGAGACAAGTGTTTTGCTTAGGGGCTAAAAAAAAATATATATTATATTTGCTCGTGATCATAAAAGCTGCTGTGTGCTGACACTGCACACTTCACTTTTTGCAGTGTTGCATGAAACAGGAATATAGAAGTAGGGGGGTTGTTTTCCTTGCATGTGGGACAGAAAGGGTTAAGTGACTGGTCAGCAGCGCTGCTCATTAGTTACTCCAAGGAATATTGCTTTCTGAACACTGCAAAAAAGGTGACAGTTGCATCAAGTTGTTTTTAGGTACTGTAAGTAGACTGCTCTTGGTACCTCTGCCTCTTCAGAATTGCCTTTCCCACCTTCTCTCTTTGGTGTGATTTCTGCCGAGTCCAGAATTCCACCAAGCCTGTCATAAATATCTGAATGTTTCTTCTTTCTGATTGTGGAGACTGAAGTACTTGGAGTGTCCAGGTAAATTAGCTCCAAGCCACTGTGAAATGTTAATACAATAAATAAAACAGACTTTGAGGTAAGTCAGAAATCCTGCTCTCTTAAGAAGATATTAGTCAAGCCTCTGGTGTAGGGTTTTTTTATTTTTCCCAGAAGTTTTGTACTCTACAGCTCTTACAGCCTTCAGTGAAACCTGCAAATAAGCAAGTTCCCTTACATATTTCCTCCTCTTCCTTCCTTCCTTCCCTTTTGTGAGCTCCAAATTACCTGGCTTTTCATCCAGGTAGCAAATGAAAGAGCTATCACACTCAGGCAGGAGTCACTCACTGCTTGTAGTATCTGACTTTTCAGTACCAAGAGCCCTTTTGAGCTGGGGTTACAGACAGAAAGGGCTCATGCTGCACAGGACATCTCTCAGGGGCTCATGGCATTTTGTGCTAATTCCACACCTGAGGATGACATACCACTATTTTAGTGTTTGAGAGAGCATAAGTGATTGAAATTCAGATATCTTTAATAACTTACTAATGCACAGCTGTTAGAAGTGACAACTGAATTTATTGGATCTGAAAGGGTAACACCTTTTTGCATGATTTCCCTTAAAGTATTAATTGGAAAAAGCCTTATATGCTGCCAGATTCAGTAGCTTGCCCTAGTAATAGCTCCTCACCCAGAAACAGGGGGAGGGGGGGAAAGGCATAGCTTCAAAACTGCAAGAAAAAATGATTTGTAAGACAGCTTTAGTAGTTGAAATCAGTTTTTATACCTTTGTCTTTTAAATGACTAATCTCTATCTGTGGGTGTCCATTTAACCTGTGATATAACTTTAGAAACTGCTGGAGGTAATTTGTACTTTAGGATCTCAAGTGATTAACATGAGGTACACAATCTAATGCATTTCAGTATTTGATGGGTTGTGTCTCTCGGCTTTGGATGCCTTTTGGTTTTTATAAATGTTACATTTTCATCTACAGGGTAATTTATGAGCACAAACAAAGGTTGCTGACTCTCTCATTCAAGCTTCAACTGTTATGGCATTTTTATACAAATGCTCATTTACTTTGTCATGCCATTTAGAAGAAGGATCAGTGTAATCCATTATTCTGCAACTATTGTGAGAAAAAGTGATTCTATCAAACGTGTCCCCTGGTTATACTTTTTTATAAACTAATTATGTATGTCAGATATAATGTTGCCCTCTGCTACTATGCTATATTTCCAAATGTAATAGAGTTGGAGAATATTCAGTCCAAGAACTAAACAAAGTATTTTTTCAGTTGGCATTTGATGTCTATGGTGGGAAAGTTGCCCCTGGCAGAGAAACAAGTCCTTCAGTGCATACACTTCACATTTTAATTAAAACCAGGGCACATTTCAGAAAATGCTGGGAATGTATATTATATATATTGAATTTCAGGTGTTATTTTCTTGATGGTTCATCTTACAAATTAGTAATGGAGAAAAAAGAATGGAATTGATGGTCATTTCCTCCACTCTCTCTTTATGTCATCAGTTCTCCTGCAGTTCCTGGAGGAAGAAAAGCACATGGGAGCACAGTAAAATATGCAGACCAAGGCATCCTTAGAAGTGATTAAACACTTTTGAGTTTCCCTTGCCTACACTAGGAGTGTATCACATGGTAATTTGGGAGGCTTACTTGGAAGCAGAAGAGCTATGAAACTGGGTTTGACTCTTACAGCTGTGCATCCGTGTGGGGGGGGGGTTTGCAGGTTTTCTGCAGGGGAGAGGTAGAAAGCACAAAACTAAAGACAGGATCACTGGTTTTAAATAGTCTACCATGAAGCATCAGCTGCTCAGCACCACAAAAAGCCCAACCTAAGGACTCCCACGTCACTGACTTCTTCAAAAAATGAGAGGATTCAAAAAAGTCTATCAGCATATGAGCAAGTGGCCTTGCTGACTATGCTTCTTGTCAAAATGCAAGCTGAGTTTTGAAAGTTTTGAGTGGCAAGTACCCCCAAATTTAAGATAAGGCTTATCAAAGTGATAAAATGGCTGCCTAAATCAATTTTTTTCCTTATTTTTCCTAGAATCTTGTGCCTAATTAGTTGTATTTTGTAAGAAACCATTACTGCGCTACGTTAAATGAAGGCGTAACTTTTTTAGGCTTTGACTAAACTTGATTTTTGTTGATGGTGGAAAATAGGATGGTTTGATGGCAAGAACATCCAAAAAGAGTGATCCATTGAGCTGGCTCATGTACAAACACAGCATTTATGCCTTAAGTGCTAAACTTTTAAAGAGTCATTCTCCACCACGGGGAATATTGGACTTCATGATGACAATCCTGCTAATAAGTTGTCTACAATGTGCAAAGAGAGGTTAAGGTGATCTTGCCACCTACTCGTATATGCAGATACTAATTTCATGGAAGCCAATGTGAATGAACAGAACATTGCAATGAACTATGAAGGAACAGTGGGAATATGACTTGGTGGAGAAAGAGGAGCGAAAAGCAGAAACAAAAACCAAGAATCACAAATATGTCTGATCCAGTATGTAGATTTTTGACAGAGTAGGTGAGAAGGGCTGGAACTGGCTACCTCACCCACGAGAGCCACTGCTTATGCAGTAATGAGAGGTGATTATAATTTGATGGAATTCTTCCAAAGGGTACTTTGTACCTATTGAAGCGTGGTTGCATTTGGCAGCTTCTCCTGATTTGAGGAGAACTTCTGAACTCTGCTGCCATAAGTCACAATCAAAAATGTGACAATTTTAGAAACTTTTGACCTTCAAAATAGAATTTGAGAGCTTTGAATTACTATACCTGTAACTGCGTAGTCTTGTCTGCAATAACAGTTATGGTCAAAAAGACAACAGTCAGATTCCTCTTGCCCCTTTTTCACAGTAGTGGAAGTAAAAGTTCACTTTAATCAAGTTTCATTTGTTTTCCCACTTTCTTCCTGAAGCTTTCTGTAGCTGATTTCTGCAGCAGCTGAGTGAGCGGAACAGTTGGCTTGGATCTTTTCATGGACAGGAATGCCAAATGTTCTCTGCTTATTGCTTCCCACATCTGACAGAGGACATGGTGTTCAGTGAATCACTGCTATGGTCAGCAGCAAAACATGACTTCAGCATCACCTTGCATCTTCT